TCGATGATTGTCGCGCTTCTTTCCGCCCGAGGAGGATGCTCGGGTTTGAACCAGACCTAGAAGTCGGTCAAGATGGTGTGGTTCTAGATCGAGAGAGGGCGAGGTGACCACAAAATTGGCGAAGAGGATATTTGTGTTGCGCTCCTCCGCATTATGGTCATCGAAAGAGCCCACGGTTTTGGAAGGAAGCGTAGTCTTGATTGTTGTAGTAGCCATAGGGATGTATACGATGTTATCCGTCTCGCCCGAGCTATCGTCCAAGCTTACTGAGAGAGAGATGGCGGCCAGAAGGGCCTGATGTGCGACGTCGTCCCGCTGAAAATACATGCGATGCGCGGGACTCCCTTGGTCCATGCGATGCAGGTCAACGCCGATTTCATGGGATATGACGTTCAAGTAGACCGATTTCTGCCCCGCAGAAGACGGCTGGACTATGCGAGACAGTCGGAAGAAACTCAAAGCCAGTTGAATTTCCCGAATGCCACGTAGCAGGGAGCTTGCAAATTCTTTCGAATCAGCGACCGTTTGGACAATCACATCGTCACGACTGCCGGGTCTGTCCAACTCTTCGACAAAGTCGGCAAACGATATCTCGTCGTCCGTGTCACTGATGATAGGTTCCTTCCTTGACCGCCGAAACTGCTTAATCCGTTGCGAGACGGTTGTCAGTTCGTCATATGGGATATGGAGTCTTCCGATTTTCAGTGCAATAGAGGTATCCCTGAGTCCGTCGAGGTCACTAGGGAGGAGTCCGTGGATATTGACCTGGACATGATCCAGAAGCTCGGCCGGCTCGCTGCCATCGACCGCGAGTAGGACGTTTTGTACATTCATGATCCATTCGGCCGGGCATAGTTCACCAGACTCATCCTTCTTTCGGCGAAACACCTTTGCCCGGTCCACCATTTTCCGCCTGGTGTCCACCGCCAACGAGAGCGATCCTATCTGGAATTGGCCGGCTTCGAGGAAATTGATAGTTGTATTCACGGCAACGACATCCACCAATTTGAGCCAATGTATCTTTCTGTGAAGCCTCTTGACCTGCTCCTTCATCCGTGTGAGCGTCTTCCACGTCTTGCTCCGCCGAGCACGTGCCAAGCTGGTCTCCCCTCCATCCGGCGACGTATCCCCCACGTCCGAAGAGCTTTGAGGCTCTGGCACGTCCGCCTTTGCTGTGTTGCTATTACCCTTGCCGAGAGCTGAAGGGTCCACAGTCACCTTCAGTTCCGTCAAGCGAAGACTCAGCCATGTCGGTTGCGCGAAGGACGGAGGATGTAGAGATAATCCCAAGCCACGAAGTTCAATTTGTATCCCTTCTCTCGGAACATAGGCAATGCGGCGGAGAGAGAAATAGCCGATTCGCTGAATAGAAACTCCTGTTGCGATTCGAACGATGGCGAAGATAAGGAACGAGGAAAGGTAGAGCAGGAGGAATCCCACAAAAACGGTTGTCGGACTAAAGAGCGTCATCGCGTCTCGCGACCAGTAGGGAGACCGATCCGTCGAACAAGGCCAGGGGATTGACGGCACAAATCATCGAGATACTACCGGATGCTGCGAATAGTTTGAGACACTTATAATATTATAAAAAAAAAAAAAAGGTCGCCGACCTCAGGCTAGAAATATTTTTGCCTTGCCTTGAAGAATGACCCGCGAGACGAGCAATTGTTCTCAAGCGTTCGGAGTCGGCGAGGAACAGGTCTCAGTAAGACCAGAATTGCGCACTGGCCTGCAAAGTGTCCAAAGAAAGCCTCGACAGTGATAAGCCAGGCATGCTTCGAACAAGATGGAACAGATTCAGAATGTGATGGATATGGAGTAATGGTACGGGGGGTTCGTAAGCTGATAGATAGAACCGGAGCGGCCGAACCATAGATCCATCATCCGTCAAGCTATCCCAAGAATAATAATGTCAGCAACAAGAGACCTGCCAAACAGTGGTTGCGGGCAAACGGGGGGGGCGCGACAATAATCTGGAAGCGGAAAGCCCGCCCACTTGGTCAGAGCTAACTAACTACGGAATACGGAGTATTTGGCTCTGTGGCGGATCGGCTGTCTCGGCATTATTTCTTGGGATCAACTGGCGAACTCTGCCAATCTAGTGGATTATCAGAATAATAATAATATGGGCCGCAGAAGACAGATTACCATCTCAGGAAATGGCCCTAGAGCACGTCACAGCATTAATGTGCATCGGGTTTTTCCCTGCTTCGGCAATGAGTTGATCACCCCTAATTACTCTCCGTAAAGGATCCTCTTTGACATATCATAGAGCTTTGGACTTGCATAATGGACACGTATATATATAATCCATACTCTGGAATAGGAATAGGAATAGGAATAGGAGAGCCCTTGGAATGCTGTCAGCCTGTCGATCTTTATATCATCTACGGAGCAGCTAAACTAACTTCTCTATGGCATGTCTCCTTTCGCAAGCACTATTTAACAACTACATTCAGGGGAAGGATTAGTTATATATTCAAGCCAATGCTAATATAAAATCACCGCATATTCAAGGCTTTCATATTACACTTGTCTCTAGACTATCAAATTGTCACTAAAATAATTATTTTACGGTTTAGTATCATGTTCCGGGCAAATTAAGACACTGAACTTCTGTGTGTTTTTTTAGCTGTGATATACAAGGGTGTGAGCTTTTTTAAGTCGCCCTACAGATCTCGGCTGACCATCCTCGATGAAAGTAATGAACATTTGCCAATAGAAAATGGTGAGGCACTCTCCAGCTTGTTGGCTATCTTACAAATTGCTCCTTTTGATATAATACAAGACGTCTTTGCACCGTTCCCATCAGGAATGTCCATATACATACTTAGCTGCCTTTAGCGAAGAATCAGATTTCTCCTCAGACTATGGTGAGCAACAATGATCGGAACCTCTCACAGCCCATGATGCTGGCATCTGCTGGGAGCCGTAGGAGCGATTGGAGTCGGGTTACCGTCCAAGCCCTGGATGACTGTACTATTCGTGACATCCCCGTGACCCTAGACGGGAAAGAAAGGCTGATGTCGATGCAATGCGATCATCTAGTTGATGAAGGATCCAGTCCCGTCATATTCTGTCCGTTTGCTTTGGCTCTCTCAAGCTCCTCGATCTTTTCGTCGATGATAGCTATCTCAGCCTCAATGCTAAGCAGTTTCTCACTGAGGATGCCCCGGTATTCGTCATCAGAGAGGGTCTTGAGTGGAATCCATTTGGAATCTGCTAATCGTTGCAGAATTGGCTTCGATGGTGTATTTGCATGTTCCATCTGCCATGAGTCGATAGCATTGTAAGATCTCTGTCCCAGATAGCCGAGCAGCGAGAATACGACAACTCCTGGGATGAGACGACCACCTAAGCCGAAATCGCATTAGTAGTGGTTCCTTGTCAGTCGAACATTTCAAGTAGTCCTAGGAGTTCAAGTACCCATTAATCTAGTCACGGCACCGCCAGCGATGCCACCAGAGACAGCGCTGACATAGGCTCTCTGTTTTGGGGTGGCCCTATCCTCATAGTGGAGACTTAGGATGTTACTCCTTAGCCCTGCAATCAAGTAATCAGCATCATGAGCACCCAACATCACCGGAGACGGAAGAAATACGACGTACACCAGAAGGAAGTTCCACATGCAAACCAGTGGATACCGCAGGAAATCGAATGGATTACTGGATGAGGAGACCTTATGACACCGGAGATGCCTCCATAAACGAGACCAGCAGAGCCTGAATGGCAAAAGTCAGTCTTTAGAAGAAACCCGCCATATTGGACCATTGAAGATCTCGAGGGCAAATTTCTGGGTTACTTGGGCAGAGTGAAGAACTCACCGCTCAAAGCTCCGGCTTTTAGTGACGCCAACCATACATTCTCTCCTAATACAGGCCGCTGACCATTCTGTCCGCTCATCTTGCGACTGACCAGAGAATGTATATTTGAAGCATGCCGCTGTGGTTGGCTACTTGAATGATAAGACCGGCTGTTATCTATCAGAGTAAATGGTTCGTATGGCGGGACCTCACGTGACCTCAGGTCATGCGCAGACGATCTCTACCTCAATTTCAGATCAAGATATCGATCATCTATCTAAATACTACTCGGGAGGATTCAGCCGTGTTTCACCTTACTCTATTTACATTACTCTATTTACAGCTTTGCACTGATTTGGCTAACTCGAGAAAAGATAGGTACCAAAGTAGGACGAATCTGCTTGTGAATCGTCTTGATTGAACCATACAGGGTTATTTTGCCTGTAATAATACAGTTTGCCCCTCCAGATACCCCTGGACCCAGCCAGGAACCTGCTGTAATATGAACATTGAATGCAAAATGTTTATACCTATAAAATGGTCGCTTTGTGTCCTCGTCAGTCTCACTCAACTTTGCACTCTATTGAGATACAGGCCTATACTGAGTCTCGGAATTCCTGTTGGATATGTGGTGGTATGCCTCCAGGATAATAATCCGCTTCGGGCTAAGGGCACAAGCTTCCCTCCTCGTACTCCGTATTACTGGATTGGTTCAAGATAGCTTGCATTGAGCCGATCAATCGTGAGACAAAGTTAGAAGTATGATGTATAGTATGATTATCAAGTAACAGCTGGACAATTGATTGCTTTATTTTCTGAAAATAAATGTGCATCTTGCCTCTCCAGGATGTCTTGATGCCACACCAAACACCGATGTTACAAAGCCCTGGGGTTGGGTCGAGGCCGGAAGCCGCACCACCACTTTTTTTTCCCCTGAGGCTGACTTTTCTAGCGTCATACTAAAAATTATCCTCACGGATTAACCTACTTTCCCCCCTCTGTTCTTTCAACTGCGGAGGTCACCTGCAATAACTCATCACACGTCTACTTGTTCAAACAACTAGACGTCATTTCTTGAAATCATTTTTATCTTCCTGTCTGGAAGTCTTCTTATAACCCCATTTAGGCCCATTTAACATCCTGCCTGAGACGCGCACAAGTCCTTGGCGCGTTTCCTGAATTTCCACAACCGCAATCATGGGTATGTTCCACCCCGAACCCCTCCTTCAGTGCATCCCATGAGTTTCCAGATCAGATGCCTGGGATATAATGAATGAGTACTGACGGTATCCGATGAAGCGCCCGCGAAGCAGAAAGCCCAGAAGATGTCTATCGGCACCTTCCTGGCCGATGAGAGTAGGTTCCCACACAAATTCCCCGCGGAAATGGATTGTGCTAAGCGAAACAGGCCTTGGCTCCTGGGCCGACGAGATGGAGGATATGCCTTTGCCTGGTAAGTTGCACCTGTCGTCGATGAGACACTCTTGAAAAATGATGGTTTTTGCTGATTTGAGGACTTTGCAGCCGGTATGTACTAGGCGCACTATCATGATACTTTTCCGCCGATAGTCTCTTCCACATGCGATAAGGATGACAAGGCTAAAGATGCAATAGCTCCTCCTTCCATGTCCAGCTACGGAGGCGACCGCCGCGGCGCTGGCCCTCTTTCCGGTGGATTCGGCAATGGCTTTAATGGTATGCTCCCAGCTTCAATCGGTTAAGAATGCAGTCTGATCCTAGAGTGACACAGACCGCGAACGTGGTGGATATGCGATCAGAGAGCCTCTCCCACTTCCTACTCAACCCCCTTACACCGCTCACGTTGGAAACCTTTCTTTTGAGGCGACCTCGGCCGATATCAACGACCTGTTTGCTGGATGTGGTGTGACGAACGTCCGTATCGTTGAAGATAAGTTGACAAGAAGCCCCAAGGGCTTCGGCTATGTTGAATTTGAGACTGTCGACGGCTTGAAGAAGGCCCTTGACCTCTCAGGTACCACGCTTCAGGGAAGAGCGATTCGTGTCAGCATCGCTGAGCCCCGTAAGTATCCTCTCGCATGTTCGACTCATTTTGTGCGCAAAAAAACTGACTGCCCTCAACAGCCAAGGAGCGCGATGTCAAGGAGCTTGACTGGACTCGCAAGGGCCCCTTGCCCGCGCCCGACCAACCTCCCCGTCGTGTGCCCGACCGCTCGACTTTCGGACGGAACCTCGACAACCTCTCCGATGCCGGCAGCGAACGTGCCAGTGGTCGTCGCAACTTCGAGTCGGATGGAAAGGTGCGCGATTTCGGCAACTGGGAGCGCAAGGGTCCTCTTTCTCCAGTGACTGGACCAGTCAGAGAAGGTGGCCGTCCTCGCAGCAACGAAGGCCCCGGGTTCAGAAGAAGCTCGCCCGCTTGGGGTGAGGGACGCTCTCAGGATGGCTCGAGACCCCCGCGCCGTGAATTCCAGGAGCGCGCACCCACTGCCGCCGAACTTGATAACTCATGGAGAGCCAGAATGCGCCCCGATCAGGCCCCTGCCAAGGAACCCAGTAACCCTCCCTCTCCCGCTGCCTCCCCCGCCGCCCCTGCTGCCCCCGCCGCTCCCGCCTCTCGCCCTAAGTTGAACCTCCAGAAGCGGACTGTCGCCGACACTCCGTCCAGCCCCGCTGCCAGCACTGACTCGAAGGCTAGCCCATTCGGTGGTGCTCGGCCCATCGATACTGCCGCCAGGGAGAGACAAGTTGAGGAGCGTCGCCAACTAGCGCTCCGTCAGAAGAAGGAGGCCGACGAGAAGGCCAAGGCCGAGAAAGCCGAGAAGCAGCGCCAATCCAAGGAGCAGGCCAAGAGCGAGAAGCCTGTGCCAGCCGCCGATCCCAACGGCAAGGACAGCATGGATATCCCTCAGGGCGCAAAGAACTTCGAGATCCTCCGGCAGGCCGGTGAGGATGAAAGCGGTGCTACCGAACAAGCCCAATCGGAAGAAGCTCCTGCCGCTGCTGCGGGTGACGAGGCCTCGAAACAGGCTCCCGCTGGCAAGGCGAACGGTAACTGGCGGAGCGGGGGTCCTGCTCAGCCCGCCGAGGCTGCCGCAGACGAAGAAGGCTGGAGCACTGTGAGCTCGAGGCAACGCAACAACCGTCGTGGGCAGTCTGGACGTACATTCGCATAGATTTCTCGATACCCTGATTCATGTCATCGCTCATAGCCGAGTACTACTACGCTGGTTTCAGGGAGAAGTAGGGTTCGTTAGTTGTCATTTCTTTCGGATGCCACAAATCTGACGGTACAGCCTCCATGGTCTCAGCATTTGCTTCTTGGTTAAGTCGATGGCCAGCTGTTTTTTCCCTCCTCTGCCATCCTCTCTACTCTCCACCTTCTCTTTGGTTCGTGATATCTTTCGTCGGGCTAGATCCCTGAACCACGTCTCGTCACTGCTGACGTTGTCGGGCACGTCGAAAAAGTTCGTGTTTATTTTCTTGTTATGTCTACCCATTTCCTTGTCGTCATCTGTTTTCCCCTTCCGTTCTCTGAGCTAGCTATTCCCATGTTGTGTGGATTTAGTGTTGTGCACTCATGACCTATCACGGCCTATGTGAAGGAACGGGCTATGTGACTTCCTGAGATGTTTGTATTTCTCCCTTCTGCTTTCCTCGGCAGAATTGGTCTTCTCGCTGTCAACGTATTCCCCCCTCTCATTGTCTATCTTGTTTCGGGATTGGGGGAGATGGAGTGTGGAGTCCTATTCTACTTGTTCTTCTAACGGAGCCATGTCCCTTCCTAGATGACGAGACAGCCATGCGAATAAGATTATGACTCAGAAGATAGATGTATGATGCGAAGCTGAGAAGAACATGTAATGCAGACGTAGACAACTTCATTGGTGACAGTAAGTGGGGACTACCAGCTTCTTTGACCGCTCCTCCGTTAGACGCTGTCCTTGACCAGGCGTGTGACGCTACATTCTTGTACCAGCCCCTGGGAGATAAATATCCAAGCAAGGGAGGGACCTGAGCGACACGAAGAGAAGAGTAGTCAAGTACCTACGGAGTAGATAGCTAATCTTTCACAGAGAGCCTGTACGTTGCAAGGGATATAGCTAGAATGGCTGGTGTTTCCTTGGCGATCAGCTATGGCGATGCTGATATACTTCATTCCTTGCAAGGGACTAATGTCGATGGCTGGTGACCTTGACTCCAGCGCAGGCGGGTTGAATCGAGATCCATGAGGTAAAGAGTGATATCGGCACCTCTCTATGTATTGATCGATATTGACATACTAGGAGACTGGTTTATTTTGTATCTAGTTCTGGAGGTGACCAGTCAACTGTAGGTACACTAGAACCCACCAGGCGCGGAGACTAAAAGTGATCCACGATCTACACGTGTACCTTTAATATGCGACTTATTTAGCAACAATCAAATCATGTTAAGTCGAATATTCTTGTGAATGGTGTGCTTCAGAGATTGAGGATTGACATTTCAAGAAAGATCTTGAATAACAGTTGGCAGTGTTCTTGATGGTAGATTCCCTTGCCTTCGGAGACAGCGTAGAGAGGCATATTTATAGAATGCGCTAACCATAGACTTTACTGACTGTAACTCCAGCCTGTAACACGAATCATGATCCTCCCCCAGCATTTGATAATAATAACTCCCAGTCAGCCTCCCTAAGACTTCGCTTCCTTACCTCCTTGATTGTTGCACTCATTGCTTATTGTGAGCCTCATGAGACATCTTTTCAGTGCCACTTCTCTTCTTTGTGCACTAGACACTTCACCGATCTGCCCCCCACTATTTAAAGGCACGGACTGGACAACTGGACGACCTGCGACGCCGAGCCTGAATCCTTTCATTTCCGCGACCCCGGATTCAGCTTCGTTTCAGGCCTCAATGCGTTGAGTTTGACCCAGAAGAGCACTTCCAATTACTCCGATTCATGCCTCGATAATGTCGACCACCGCAACCGCGACTGTGACGGCTACAACCCTCGTGGGAATGCTTCCGACCATGACGAGTGCTGCCCCCAACATCTCAAGGAAGAATTGTCCAACATGTGGCCAGGAAGGGTACATGTCGCGGGATCAATTAGTCGAGAGCGCCMGGAAGAGGGTGAAGGAGTTGGAGGGTCAGGTCGAGCTGTTGAACGCGCACGCTGCACAGATGGGTAAGCGCGTTGCTACGAACAACTCAATTACCTGATGGCGGTGCTAACCTGGTTTACGTCTATAGCTGCACAACTGGCCGAGTACGAAAAAGAAGTGCGCCGTCTCCGCTCGCAAACCAACACGCACACCCCCAGGACGGGCTCCGCATCGTCGACAACGTCCGCGCCCTCGAACGAGAGCGAGCATTCCCGGTCCTCGCCGCCGCAGGCCCAGCACCAAAGTCGCCTGTCGACGCTGACGTCTCTTCTGCCTTACCGTCGCCCTAGCACCGCATCCCCCACCCAGCCCATTGCCCAGCCAGCACAACTGGCCCCTTCTCCAGACCATGCTACGACAGAGCTTCAGACGGCGCTCGAGCGAGAACAGAGCTTACGCAAGGAGGCAGAGAGCCAGCTCTCCCAGGCCAGTTCGGAGCTGGAGGAACTGACGGCGCAGCTGTTCAGTCAAGCAAACGAGATGGTTGCGCAAGAGCGCAAGGCGCGGGCGAAATTGGAAGAGAGGGTGGCGGTGCTCGAACGACGGGATGTCGAGAAGAGGAAACGGCTTGACAGACTGGAAAAGGCTATGGAGAGGGTGGAGCGGCTTCGAGCATTGGTCGGATAGTTCACAGATGTATAGCCTCTCTCCTTTCTTTTTTCTTTTTCTGCCTCTCTTTGCTTTGGATCTATTATACCCCTATGTTGTTTCCGGCGGACTACTCCTGCTTTGAATTGTTTTTGACACGATATGGCCTAATGAATGGGCCATGGGCTATGAGCCCATGAGGACCACGACCAGCATTGTTATGACAGGAAGGCGTTTTGGAGAGCATTTACTCTGTTGTTATAGCTGATGCTTCAGCAATTTACACCCAGTTGATCATTACATACTAGGACGGCCGTGGAAATAGTACAATATGACACTAATGACCTCCTTTCCTTAACATTTCGACCTCAAAGTGACTCATTAGAAGCGCGGTTTGCCCACGCGCACCACGTTGTCATTGTCTAGGCTATAGGCTAAACGCTGGATGTCTTCACCGGGTCGTTTCCACTTTTCACTCCACCCCGCCCAGCGTAGGGTCTGAAGATCGGGGCGCCAATGAAATGCCGCCAGAAGCATGGCAGCTGGATGCTACATAACCGGATTTCTAATCTTATTCCAAGATATATAAAGTCGTGCATCTGTACAGTCGATCGTCAATACTGTCTGTATCTGTTGCATTTGAAACTATCGATATGTCTGTCGGCGTGGCTATCATTGGAAGCGGTATGTCCACTACCATTTATACTTCGTTCAACAGCCCTTGATCTAAAGCTGATAAAAACCACAGGCATCTTCGCTCGTGAAGAGCATCTGGTACGTCATCAGCCTTGTCATTTGATCTGACTACACTGACACCAGTCATAGCCCGCAATCCAAGCAGCAAAGGACTTCCAGCTGAAGGCCATCTATTCCCGATCCCTCAAATCCGCGCAGGATCTCGCAAACGGGACTACGGGCGTTGACCTCTACTCCGAGGACTCTGGCGCCGGAAAGGGTTACGCCGATTTACTCGCCCGCGAGGACATCACGGCGGTTGTCATCGCGTGCGTCTGGCCCTCTACCCCCTCAACGATCAAACTCTCTGGCTAATGAAAATAGCCTCCCCATCCTGGTCCAGCCGGATTTCATCCGCAAGGCCCTGACGGCAGGGAAGCACGTCCTGTCCGAGAAGCCGATTGCCAAGGACATTGCCACGGCGCGGGACCTGCTGCAATGGTACCATGCCAACATCGACACCAGCAAGGTCCTCTGGGCCGTCGCTGAGAACTTCCGGTACATGACCAAGTTCCTGCGCACGGCCGAGGAGGTACAGAAGCTGGGGCGGGTCAAGAATTTCCGTGTGAATTCTCACGCTCTGGTCTCGACGGACTCGAAGTATTTTAGTAAGTTAGATTACTTCGCTCTACGTCTTATTGCATCTGGTGCGTGGTCTAACGAAGTAGAAACCGCATGGCGCCAAACACCCGGATATCAAGGTGGGTTCATTCTTGATGGCGGTGTCCATATAATAGCAGCTCTACGATTGATTCTCGGGTCGAGTGACCCTGTCGCTACGCTATCCGCACAGTCCTGTCTCCAGCAGCAGCACCTCGCTCCCCTGGACACGGTGGACGCGGTGATGAAGACCAAATCTGGCGCTACGGGTGTTCTGTCCTTGTCGTACGGATCAGCGTTTAATGACTCGGTTTTCGAGTTTGACTGCGAGAGAGGCGTGGTCGCCTTGAACTTTGACCGGCTAACAGTCAAGGGGGAGAGCAATGAGCTCGCTTTTGACGGACGAGGTGTTAGCCGTGAGGTCGCCGTATTTGCTACGACTATTGCCAATGGTGGTTCCGTCGACAAGAGACAGAGTCCGGAAGAGGCGTTGGCCGATTTGGAGATTATGGAGAAGATGTTGACCAGTGGTGAGAGAGGCGGCGAGAGACAGAGCGTGGAATTACAAGTGTAGATACTCCGTAGATACAACTTCATGGCAATTAATTCCTCAAATATGGTATTGTACAGTAACTTAATCTGATAGGTAGAGAGGTACATCCGTAGAGAAGTCAAGTCTTGGCGAGGGTTAGCCGCCCAAGCCCTAAACACCCGTTCTCGCTTAGCGATCCACTAGCGTCCCCGCTGCACTCAGGCTCGCTCGCTCGGGCGGCCAACCCTCAGCGGAAATTTTGAGATTGAACTCGAATCGTCACGACAACTCTCGAGCGCCAGCCAGCGAGACCCAACGATACCGACAAGGTATGTTCATTATTTGAATTTGGATTGCGTTTGCAATTTGATGCATTGAGATTGTACTGACAGTTTCAAGATGGTCCTCGCAAAGAAGCACGTCCCCATCGTCAAGAAGCGTATGTTCCAGCTCCCTCTGCCAGCCTTTCCCTACCTCAAGCACACGCACAAAATTCGATTCTGGAGAGATACAAGGAATGGATGTTTTGGTTTGGACATGTTGGAAGAGACAGTTCAGAGAAGAGATGGAATCAGCGACCGAATGAAGACCTCTCGTTGCGAGCGTTGCATGATTACTTGAAAATTCAGACACACACGAGCACATGGAATATCAGGAGGACTGACACGGATGTGAACAGGCACCAAGCGCTTCTTCCGCCACCAGTCCGACCGCTTCAAGTGCGTGCCGGAGTCATGGCGCAAGCCCAAGGGTATCGACAACCGTGTCCGCAGACGCTTCAAGGGCAACATCCCCATGCCTTCCGTACGTTCAGTTCCTCGACCCTAAGCCGCATCAGATTCGATCATCTCGACGAGACAAATCTGGAATCGCGGTGGCGTACCTTTGCGAACTGCAATGCTGATATTTCTGGACTAGATCGGTTATGGTAGCAACAAGAAGACCAAGCACATGATGCCCTCCGGCCACAAGGCTTTCCTCGTCCACAACCCCAAGGATGTTGAGCTGCTGCTCATGCACAACCGCACCTACGCTGCTGAGTACGTTACATCCCTCCGCACAAAAGCAACCCATACTGATGGAATTGGAATAGGATCGCCTCCGCTGTCTCTTCCCGCAAGCGTGTCGACATCATTGCCAAGGCTAAGGCGCTCGGCGTCAAGGTCACCAACCCCAAGGGCCGTGTCACCGTTGAGGCGTAAATGGTGGAATAGGAATGATGAAATAATAGAACGAAAAAATTTGACCCTAGCCTTTTACCTCTTACAAATATACCATGAAGGGGGGCCGGATGGTGGACGTCCTTTTTATTTTCCTCCTCTTTCCTCATGCTCGTTTCTGAGCGTCCGTGGCCGTGTCCTCTGGCGGGTGCGGAAAAGGGTGTCGATTGTCGGTTCCATGTATGGTCGTGAAATCCTCGTGGCAATGACGATTCAAGATATGTGCATCATGCATGCTTTTTTGTAGGATGTATTGGGTGTAAGGGCATTTATTATGGCAATGTAGATGTCGTGGAGGCCATACGAGTGCGTAGCTTGTACGTAGTCAATGTGCAACGTAAACTCCATATATTAATGCGTCTCATCTATTTAGCTAATTTCATGCCGTCTATGTATCATGCAGTATCATACCGCTTCCTCTTGAAACTCCTGCTGCCGAGCAGCAGAGATATCTACAAGCCCAACCCCCCTCACCAGCACCGGATTCTCCCTCTTCTCATCAGAACCCTCGACAACCATCCCCTCGGGGATTGGCGTCTGGCCAATCACAATCTCCTCCTCTTCCGGGACAGGCACCCAGTCCGGCGCTTCACGCGGCCCATCCAGTCCCTTGGGCGGCATAGCCCACGAGGGCATCTTGCTACGATACTTCCACTGACCCTCCAGATCAGAGTACGCAACCGCATGCAGGAAGATGCCGAGCTCATGGACGCCCGGATCGGTGTAGAGTTCTGTACCGCAGACGTCGCAGACCTCGCCGGAGAGGCGCTCACCCTTGCGCTTGTGGTAGTCGTGCACGGCGGCCTCGTGCTCGCGCGACATGATCTCCTCCACGACGGACGGGTGCGTGCCCGGCGGCACGGGCGGCACAGTCGTCAGGTGCGTGCGGTACGTCGTTGTGTCAGCGACCTCCGTCTTGCCCATCTCCGAGAGCCGGTCCATGATCTCTTCGTCGCGATCGGCGGTGGCCTCGTTGCGGCCGAGGTCAGGCCCGAACACCCGCCGGTTGGAGTAGATCGGGTCGTTGGTGATCGGGTGCCCGAGGAACTGCAGGTGCACGCGGATCTGGTGCGTGCGCCCCGTCAGCGGGAGGCAGTGCACGATGCTGTAGCCTTCGGATTCGTTGGCGAGCAGCGGCGGCGGCGTGGCCGGCCGGTCGCCGCTGGCTGTCACCTCGCTCTCGTCGCGTTCTGGGGCGGGCGAGGCAGGCGGGTAGTACGCTAGGCGGCGGAACTTAGTCTTTGCGTCTTTGCCGGTGGCGCGCACGCGGTTGAGCCCAAGCTTGGGACTGACGGACATGATGGGCTGGTCGCAGACTACCACGCCGTCCGGGAAGCGGCCCTTGACGCGCGCAATGTACTCCTTTTGCACGGTGCGCTGCTTCAGCTTGACGGTGATGGCGTCCGCGCCCTTGGGGTGCTTCGCGATGAACATCACCCCGGAGGTCAGGCGGTCCAGACGGTTGCAGGGCCGTGGGACGAACTCCTGCCCGCGCTGCGAGCGCAGGATCTCCACGATCGAGTTGTAGTGGTACCGGCCGGCGGCGTGGACGGGGACGCCCGCAGGCTTGTCGATCACAATTATATCATCGTCTTCGTGGATGATTCCAATCTCGTGGCCGGTGACGGGGGGTTCATGGCGGTGGAGGGTATGCGAGATGATCTCGCCGTTCTTGAGCACGGTGTTGGGGGCCGCGGTTTTGCCGTTGACGGTTACCTTGCCATCCGCAAGGGCTTGTACCTGCATGCGCATTAGCAACGCGTTCAATCTTGTTCACAGTCCTGACCTACATAGTACTCGGCCGGCCGATCTCTGAACTCGGACGTGAAAATTTCCTGTAGCTCCCGACCCCGCCATCGCTCCTTGCAGTAGGTGTTGTATGTGTAGTAGTAGGGCTTGACCCTGCGCAGGCCGCCTTCAAAGTAGTATGGGATCGGCCATGGATCGCATGGAGTGACGGCGACTTTCGGGGGCTTTTCGACGGGGTCCGGAGGAGGGACTTTGAGGGTGGTGTCGACAGGAACGACAGCCATGCTGGACGCAGGTATCCTGCCTCGTCGCAGCAGATATGCAATAATGCGAGGAGATGGAGCCAGGGGTAGATATCACGTTCTCGTAATTGTGTTTGTCCCTGTAGGTTCGTGTATGTTTGTGTCCTGGTGAAGGCAAAAAAATAGCCACCGAAAAAAGATCAAAAAATAAATTAGCGTTGCGGGGAAATCAGATTGAGAGGTATAGCCAGTCAACAACAGGATAAATTGGCTATATACTGTCCGATACTTAAAATTTCTATATACAGTCCAATCTTGATATATTAAATGTCTAAAATACCCATATTCAATTCATATCGCAATATCTGGCTGTCAATATGACTGTTGTCGCGATCACATTCCCCGCCTCAGGCACATGCATAACCCAATCCTATTACTAACACCGCATAAATTATGCAGCCAATCAAATGTGCTGGCAATTCAACCTCGGCTCCTTGGTGCCTCAGGTTCTCCCAGCTCGACATCAACAGCAACAGCAAACAAATACAAAAGCACTACAACTACTCTCTATAAGAAGCTAGGAATTACTTTGCATCAAGAGAATTGTATTGAAAGCGCATTTGTCCGGAATTGAATTCGGATTGCGAGCTCAACCTGACGAACACATCATCATCGTCAGGTATATATAACTCCACCCGCATACTCAAGTAACCGCCATCACTATAACTCCACTACATCGCACCACAATGTCCCCCAAAGAGGAGCTAGAAGCCAAAAAGCGCCGCAAGAGAAGCGACTACGTCTTCCACCAGGAATACCGCACGCGATGGCAAGCACTCATCCTCTCCCCTTTACTACCTACCACTAATGAAAGACAGGTTCGACAACGACATGTACGCCCACCTCAACAACACCGTCTACGCCATGCTCTTCGACTCCATCGTAAACAGCTGGCTCATAGCCGAGTGCGGGATGGATCCGTTCAACAGGAACAAGTCCACCGCCAGCGATAGTGACACTGAGCGGAACATCTCACAGCAGGTCGGGATCATGGTCAACTCGTACTGCGACTATTTCGCCTCGGTGTCGTACCCGGATGTACTGGATTTGGGACTGCGGGTTGCGAGGCTGGGGTCGTCGAGCGTGACGTATGAGGTTGGCGTGTTTCGGCAGGGAGAGGAAGATGTGAAGGTTGTCGGGGGGTATACGCATGTGTTTTGTGCGAGAGAGACGATGAGGCCGGCGGAGGGGGGCATGGAGGAGAGGGTTCGACGGGGGTTGGAGAGGTTGGTTGTTAGGGAGGGGGCTAAGTTGTGACCTATTCATTATTCATCGGCGCTTTAAGGAAGTATCATTGTGGTGGTGAGCTGAGGGGCAGCTGTTGCAGATGATGGACTACCTTACCATCTGATCCTACATACACCCAGTCATGGAATAGAAATCACACTGTGACACTGGCGGTGATGCGTATCGTCAATAGCTAGTGATTCCCAAAGTTGGATTGATTCAAATGGGACCGAAATTTTTGTGTTCCATTACCCCTGCTGATAGCAGGTTGTAGCAACTAGCAATCAAAGTAAACCCAATATGTGAGATATCAACACGCTGTTTTATAGATCATGGACGAAGCAACAATAGCAAGAAAGTCTATCCTTCTAACCCAACCCAAACGCCATCGCTAAATCATCCATTGCCGATATACACTTCGTCCGATTATTGTATCAGCAAGTCATTTGCGATGGAAACAAGAACAATTATAAATAGACACCCGCTGAAACGCTGTTGGCGACAATTATGAGATAAGGTAGTCGTCGAAGTAAAGAGGTGAAAGAGTTGAAGAGTGATGAGATGATGTGCCCAAGGTACAGCCGAGCTAACCCATCTTGGGGACGATGCTGCTGGACCGAGAGACGTTGGGGCTTTCTGGTGGAGATAGGGCGCGCTGCATCGTCTTTGTGCCATGGTCGTAGTACCACTTTTGATACGGGCCAGGGATGAACTTTCCTTTGGCGTCCCATCCGGCGACCCAGGTGTAGCCATCGTCCAGAAGGAAGAAGAGCAGTTTTTCCGGCTTCGCGCCTTCGTGCAGAGTCACCGACTGCCAGCGACATCTGTCTTCCATTTCGTGCTCAAAGATGAATCGATGGAGAATGCGGCAGTAGACAAGTGGGACGGGGACTTTCTCCTCGTATTCGCTGCCGTCTTTGTGGACGAGATGCCATCCCAGACCGGGGATGTGTTTGTAGGTGCCAGGAACAGGGCTTTCCCAATGTTCCTCTCGGGAAATAGATCCCTGAATGCGCTCGCCCCGTTGGAACCAGTAGGTCGGGCAGAAGACAGCGCGAAGGCAGATGAAGAGATTCGGCGCCATGAGTATTAGATATTGAATGAGGACGAACAGAGAAGAGGACGGTTCAGGACAAAATGGAGAAGAATAGTAGAAATCCAAAGGAAGCGCTCAGTTGCGGAACTTTTTTCGATTCGAAAAATGAGATGAGGGAAACAGCGTGGTCATAAGTCGATATCCATCGTGACGGTCGTACTTCGAAAGGGATTCGTAGTGGCTGGAAGAAGACGAACAGGGATAGACGGTGATTCTGTCACTGGCGCGACACCAATGTCTGAGGACCAAAGTCCCTGATGACTGAGAATGCGAATGGGATTCGTCCAAGGGATCTCGATCGCTTGTTACTTCGCTGCTTTTGAGAGCAGGGTCAGAGTCAGGATCAGGAGCAACGACAACGCGCTGGCTGCAATAATGATGCGGTGTGTATCACAGCCCAGGAGGCGTGACGACTGACGGAGCTCGAATCTCCTAGAAATATCCTGGACAGAAACAGGAGAGGAACGCAGTGATAGTCTGATAGAAGGTAGCTATAGAGAAAGGCGATCGAGCCCCGAATGTGGCAGAGAGAAGTACAGCAGTCACCCTGTGTTACAGCTCGTCAAGAGCGCATGGGGAAAATATCGACTCTGACTGGACGATAAGGAGAAAAGACATCATGCAGGATGAGAAATTGAGGTATTAGAAGGAGTGTTAAGGCCAAACGCCTTTAAATGTAGATCGTTGTGTGCGCGTTTTCGCACAATTCGAGGCGGTCTGAGGTCAGCGCCCGGACGGCGTAAAAAAATTTGATAGTCTGGATCACTCCACTCCTAAACAGGGACGAACCAAGCTAGAAGAACTAGACCACAAAGAATGGATCCTTTTACTTAGTAATAACTAATTTCAGGATTTCTCTAGAAAAGTTAATATCAGTAGAGTGGTAGTCTGGTAGATAGCCTAGTATCTAGTCTATCCAATATGAAACATCAATTTAGTCAGAGCCTAAGGCCTGCGAGCCAAAGCAATGCAGCTAAAAAGAAGGCTCTCTCCTCCTCCATCCGCGTTCAACTTGATGATCCTCTTGATGCCCATGTCAAGCGCTCGCGGACTGAGAACGTCCTCGTCGTCAGCAAGACTTCCTCTCTCCAGAGGACCCTTCCTCGACCCTTCAAGCTCCCAGAGCTTCCCACCGCTCTTGACAAAACTCACAAAATGCCCACCATTACGCTCACTCGTCGGATCTGCATAGCTGTCGCCGGCCTGCTCGACTGACTTGTGAGCACGTTCGAATGGCTCGCTGTTGTACAGCATTTCGGCGCGTTTCGTCATATCCAGAGGTATGGCGAGGCTTCGTATCGCCGCGAGATCGGAATCAGGCTTGATAAAGTCGGCGGCCGGACCATTGATCACGCTATGGAGCAGACCGATCGAGCCGCAGGCGTGGCCGATGGTCTGCTTGAACCAAATGACCGGCTCGTCAGGGCCGGAGCCAGTGTAGGATTCTTTGTTAGCATCTTCGGCCTTGCGACTTCGATCCCAAGCTGGTGTAAGTGGAATGACGACCAGCAGAGCCAGGGCAGGTCGAGGGATATGTGCGAGTTGTTCGGGTTCATCCAGAGAATAGACGTCGTAGAACTGGAGCTCAGACGATAGACCCAACTTCGCTGCCAATTGGTTCATTACATCGGGGTTGTTCTCTGCCATTTGCGATGAGTTTCTACTCAAAGACAAGTGGACCATGAGGGCTTAGGTCCCTTACCAAGCATTACCCATGTCTTCTTTTCCATTTTGGGGAATCAATAGATGGAGGCCGTCGAAAAGTCACGAATGTTGGTGTGGAACGGGGAGTTTAAGGTGGGGTGGATTGACCGTCCCCATAATTCCGGCGACCTGGACAAACAAAATGCTACGCCGGTGGAGCTGCAAAGGGGAAACTCTGCGCCGCGGGAAAGCCGAGACCCACACGAATGCTCCATAGTAGTATTTTTATCGTGCGGGATTTTTCTTTTTACCTTTTATTTTTTTATTTATTTATTTATTTATTTTTTTTTTATTTTTATTTTTTTTTGTTTTTGGTGTTTGGCTTTCTTTTTTTCTCTTAAGATTCCACTCTATATCACACTCATCGTCATACCTCTCTAACTGAGTCGATTAATTCGACTTTTACTATCAGACCAGGTGTGCCAGCCTCGCTAGTAGATGCGCTTTTTGCTTTTTTCTTCCGTAGTCGTGGGTTTAGCATGTTCCAACTTCCTGCACGCTAATGGAATTAGCCGTTAGTACTTAGCAGTGGCTGTCGGGAAACTGCCGTAAAGCAGCTGAGGAGTGAGTAGTGAACACTTAAAAAAAAGAGTAATCAGGCCATCTTGGCAAAGAGTGGGCATCAGCATTGCATTATCAATTGCTATCCACTTCGATGCAGGAATCCTGATGCCTGATTATGCAGATTCCACCTTCGTGGCAATCAGTGTTGATCCGGAAACAGGTGTCCTCCGCTGATATTCCATCTCTGACGCTTAAAAGTTTTCATCAACTCAATCAATAGGGGTTTCAGATTATCCAACCCAGCGCCATCCTTTGAGAAGTCAAAGCCCGTCACCCGTAACAGGAACAGACATGGTCGTGTCGATCGTTTGAATCCGGCCTGGACGGCCAATTTTATGCTTCAAGTACTCCGTAGATGTAGCCCATCATCATTTGCATGAGACGTATAATGAGTTTTGAGGACTGTCGTGGAGGTAGAGTTCCTCCAAAGTTCAGTGGCATATGGTGGATGATCCTCCCATTGCCTGTCAAAATGCAGCGCATGTCGTCCGCAAGTCTTCCATCACCATTCATCAGGTTCCTTGAAGCTAGGCAATCATCAGGCAATCTCTATGGCCTTTCAATATAGAATTCAGAATGGGTAACAATTACCAGGAAGAGATCACACCTGAGTGAGTATTTTGCATCTGGTGATACTTTATTTGGTGGATCCCCGATCTGCGTTCTGCAGCTTTACTCCTCTAGCAGCTCTCACATCAACCAATAAAATCACAATGAGGAACCTAGAGATCTTCACTGATGCACGTTTCCCCGGATCCTCAAGCGGCTGGTTGAATCATCTGGATGACTGCTTCTTGTCTTCTGTCATTTTCTGATCTCCTTCCTTGCAAAGTCGTTCTCACCTTCTCGTCTTTCATGATAGAGATCTGGACCCAAATCCTAGACGTAAGGATTAAGGATCAATGACTCTGTCAGTGCTGCGTCAATCCTGGCAACCACAGGATAAACAGGATGAACAGGATTGATAATCTCAGTCATGTTCATGATCATAAGACCGCCAGAGATAGCCTGGCGCATGAGGGCATAATTAAGGCTATTCTCAAGGAGCCCAAGTCGAGATCTGAATTCTGAGCTCAACCAGATTCTCCTTCGCTGGTTAAGGTAGCAATTTTGAAGCATCCGCGCACTTTGACTATCGTCATTTCAAGCTCACTAATGCTAGCTATTGCAAGGTTCACCGCCAGCTTGTAGAAACCTTCTAGAAACTAACGCAAGTGTATAAGTGACTGAAGTGAGCAAGTGCTGATTTAGGAGACCATGCGGAGACGCCTTGTCCATTTCTACTACGCTGCACTAGCCATGCGTCAGATGTCGCGTCACTTCAACGCTCTGAGAGACAAAATTCGACGCTCCGCCAAAAGCTTTTGAACCGTGCGGAGCCTCCTGGGGAAGGCGATTCTCAATCTCCGAGATATGCGATCATGCAGGTTTGCAAACTGACCCATGCGTATTAAGTGAACAGTTGACCGTCCTGTGCACTTCTTGGAAGAAGAGACGTTGCAATGCACGAAAGACCATGATCAAAGGGAAAGGCTTCAGGAGCTTGCGGAAAAGAGAGATCTCATAGGTATTGATGCTGTGGGTTGGGTCCCTGACGATGAGCATCTTGAAAAGGCAAGAGCCATTGCACAATCTATTAGGGCGGGCTTGATAGAACACTCTAAGAGTGAACTCGGGCGGACTGCCTTACTCGACCATTTCCTTTCGACGATCACGACGAAGAGGTTTGAACTTCCTGCTAGCGAGCTTTGATTAGTACTGTCGGCCTGCGTTATCCCAAGAGCCCTTCTCTGCGACCTCCTTAGTGTAATCGTCCGGATCCCAAGCCAATGCCCGAGTATTCATCTCTTCGAGCTTTATCGCCAACAATCTTTCGATATCAGCTCTCTCTTCAGGCTCCAAGAGATCAAGTCTCTGCTTCCAAACATCGTCGATGGGAGAAGAGGTCCGCCCAAAGAATCGATGATCAATCTTGTGCCAGTATATCAAGTCAAAGGCGAAGTTATTCCTTGCCGCATACGCAGTCCAGAAGTCTCCACTCTCCCAGCTCTCTTGCATCGGGTCAGAGTCGCCGCGTACTCTTCAGCCAGCCCTGTTCAATTGCCTTGTCCTCTTGGTACCTCATTGCGCTGAGAAAGGTTTGAAGGTGACGTTCATACTCGCGACACTAGTCGTCAAGCCCTCGAGGCCAGTATTCAGGCTTTTCAATCAAAAGCCACCAAGGTGGCCCAAAGGAGAATTCGACTGGGGCCGCATATGCGAATTCCCAGTCTACAACCCCGACAATTTTCAGCTCCTCGTTCATGAGGATGTTAGCTGGGCGGAAGTCGTCGCACCACAGTTTGAACGGGCCTTTATCAAAGGATGCCAACCGTTCTGTTAAACGATGTTCTCGGGCGAGTTTGCAGAAAAGATATCGAGCAACAAGCTTGCGCCGACAGTCTTCGGCTGAGTCGATTGCATCATTGCGCTGGTGTATGAGGTGAGCGATGTGTAGCTCCGCTAGTGCTTCAGAGTACGAGGATGTGTGTCAAATATCGTGGTCGGTGGTTTGGATTGGGGTAAGGATCCCAGCTGAACCAGAGTATTCAAAGGCATTGATAAAGGTCTATGTGTCACATTCCAGGTGAAGTCGTCGACTTGGTCTAGTGACCCTATCTGGGGTAGAGATGGTTGAGAAAGCCGAAGCAAAATACTCGCGACCTCTCCGTAAAGAGCTACCAATATTGCCTCACTGATGTCCGGGTCAAGAATTCCACGATCTTCCTTCGGGCACCCAGGCGTGTTAAGAGCATCATACATGTTTGTATCATGGTCAATATAGTCCATAATAATGAAAGGACCTAATCCCAGAGGACCCTCCTTGTCCCCAGTAGTGGACAAAAGGAACAGGGATTGAAGTCTGGTCGCCAATGTATCGCATGGTAGCGACCTCATTCCGGACCTTCTCTTCAGGAAAGATGGCGGCACCTGGCTGGGGGAATCGGATTACGGCAGTGTTTGCATGCTTGTACTTCATCTGGAAACAGACGTTGTATGCGCCTTTCTCCAGGAAACTGAATTCGACAGCATCGCCGGGACGATGGTGTCTGACCAAGAATGTGCCAACCGTTCGTAAGACCTCGGCTTCAAGAAACTGACGAATCCATCCATCAACGATGGCTTCGCTTTTCTCCCAGGCGACATCGTCGTAGCGCAGGCGTGGTTGCATACTTGGGGAGCCTCAGGGGGGATGGTGGGGTGGAATATCAGTTTCAGAATGCAACGTAGTCAAAGCTATCAGGGATAGGATGGATTGTTCCAACATTCCCTAACGCATGATCCACATACATAATACGTCGTACTGGGGTTACGGCACGAGTTCACAAATCAGAATCACGATCGACACAGGGAAAACAGAAGTATCTACTCCCTAAGCGGAAACGGTGAGTAAATCAAGGCTTACTTAAAGGCTCCGGTCATCTCCGGCGATTTGTCCGCCAAAGTCAAGTTTGCCGTATCCACAGCCACCAACACGACACAACTGTCGCATTCACCATACTTGTCTGCCGAGAGGAGGGTGTGCCAGTAGCTGACACCATGGATATTATCATCTGTTCATCTCGTCATGCGAGCCTCGCGGATAGTCGCCGTCTCGTTTTCAACAGCCCTGTTTCCGTGTAGGCCATGTCCGAAGCCACCCTTAAGCAGCAAAATAACCTGCTAGAGCAAGCAGAGCAGATTGCTCTCGAGTTTGACCTTAGCCCTGAGCATGTCAGACGAGTGACGAGACATTTCGTCCGCCAGCTGAGTGAGAATGACTGAAATCTTCATGGTGTACACGATGCTGACAGCTCCAGGGGATGGCCTTGCCAGTCATCGCGTCTGGCAGCTACCCTCCTACGTGAGAAGCGTGCCCACAGGCAAGGAAAAAGGCCGGATCCTCGCGGTTGACCTCGGCGGTAGCAACTGCAGGATATGCCTTGTCGATTTGCATGGGGACTCTACCTTTACCGTAACGCAGAGCAAGCACAGCGTCCCGCCGAATGTCATGGTTAACAGCAGCTATCGACCTCTCTTTAAATTTATAGCGCAGAGAATAGAGGAATTTATCGATGCGTATCTGGAACCTGCTAGTCAGTCGCCGTACAGGCTGGGTTTCACGTTCAGCTTCACCTGCGAGCAGACGTCCCTCGCTGGCGGGCGTCTTCTACACTGGGACAAAGGCTGGGATATCCCCGATGCCGTAGGTCGAGATCCCTGCGTCATGTTGCAAGAGGCCATCGATGAGCTGGGGTTGCCGGTTGTGGTGACCGTTCTGGCAAACGACAGTGTTGGCACGCTCCTGACAAGAGCGTATAGCTCGGGCCAGCGGGGTGAGCAGGCTTCGACACTCGGTGCGGTCATCTTCGGGACGGGGACCAACGCCGCATACGTCGAGAAGCTGGCGAATGTGCGTCGACTCGGTGTCAAGGCAAGCGCGGACGACATCATGGTGATGAATACGGAATGGGGCTGTCTCGACGACAAGATGGAAGTCTTACCGCGGACATCATTCGACGACGCCCTCGACGCAACGTCGGTCGATCCGGGCACACAGATGCTCGAAAAGAGGGTTTCGGGCCTGTACCTTGGGGAGCTACTCCGGCTGGCGATTGTCCAACTGCTGCAGGCGGATGCGTTTGACATGAAGGTCGACAAGAACTCGAAGGTCTTTCAGCCAGGCGGCATCGATTGTCCCTTTCTGTCGAGGCTTGCCTTGATCGATCCCGACGATGTCGACAGCGCTAAAAAGTTCATTCAGGACAGGCTGGCCGCAGAGAATGTCAGCCAAGTTGATGTTCAGGCTATACGACTACTGGCCTCGTCCATTGCACGACGAGCAGCACGTCTAGCAGGTGCATCATTAGCAGCCATCATCATCCAAAGCGGGCGCCTCGAAATTTCCAATAAGCGCTTAAGACAGAGGACTTCTGTCCCCATCGCCAGGCGGCACCTTGTAGCTCCCCGCTGGCGACGATTTTTGAGCTGCGTTGGAATGAGCTGGCTTGCCAGTAAACCACTACCACGGCATACAGACCTCCAGACCAGTCTGAACGAGGACATCATCGACATCGGAGCTGATGGCTCGTTAATCGAATTCTACCCGGGCTTCGAGGCCGAGATGCGTGGCGCAGTGAGGGATGTACCTGAAATTGGAGAAGCTGGTGAGCGAAGGATCCGCATAGGTCTTGCACAAGATGGGTCCGGTGTTGGTGCTGCCCTGATGGCACAGGCAGCAAGTCAGTGTACAAGTAATTAGAACTAAACACGACTAGATTGCATCAATCACTTTGGGTTCTCTTTTCGAATATGACACCGATTTCGTTACCATAGGTAGACCTGGTATGTCACGCCTATTAATGGACGATGGAAATGATAGACTTCTACTTGGGAAATACCTTTAGACAGTCAGGTTATAGTCTATGATGCATATTGCCGGAAACGCAAATAACCTGCACAGCCTTGTCTACTGCAGAGTTTCATCTGCTAGTAGCCTCATCCCGACAAGGCTGAGCGCAATGATTCATAAATTCTTTCCAACTTATATACATATCCACCCTATTCAATGGCACTAGCAACAGCATATAATTCTATACTTCCAAGATAGGCAGGACCAAGCCATCCAAGTTGCATACTAGTGAGTAGTGATTTAGTTTCCGCCTGACCAAGCTACCCCGACGAGAGAACACACCCCTACCAAGCAAGAGTCAAACCCATACAGTGCCAGCAGCACCCAAATGTACAAGGGATATCTCACAGCACTCCAAAGAGTAGGTCAAGCCTCACCGCAAATAGGAGTCATAAGCCAGGTTGTTTCCAGGATGACCATCATACTAGTCTCCCTGTTATATAACCCAGCTTCCTATTGCACTCCCCTAGCATTGTGGCCTCATTCAACTGGGCTTTACAGCAGCCATTTCCAAGCACAAGGCACAGATCCACGCGAAGTCTAGCTGTTATTTGTGAGTACCATTTTCGCAGGTCATAGATAACAAAAACCAGTGTTGGGCTCCGTGAGAAATTTAACTTGATGCCCAAAGCGGCTGAAGGGAAATCCATGAGTTAGAGTAGGTCAAAATGACTACTGACAGTCAGCTACGTTCAGCTGCAAGGCTGCCACATTCAAAGGCCAGTCAGCAGTAGCCTGAGAGCACACTTTAAAAAGCAAATAAAGACAACAACAAGGCTTTGCTGGAATAAAAATTCAAATGAAAGACTTGTTTGCCTAATCCTCGCCTATGGACAAAGTATACTGAGAGGCTTGACAATAGCTAAGGCTGACTAGATGCTACAAATAGGCAATCTCCTGAGACTGACTCCTAGTTCCAATATATACGTGTAGGGGGCCTGCTAATACTGCTTGACCCTGGTCCTAGAAATTTATACTACATAAGTTTGTACATATTCTTAACAATGGCTATATTTTGTTTGCTTTGACTTCAACAGTATTTACTTAAACTTATGGGGAACCAAGTGAAGTATCCAATGCAATTGGTCCTGAATACTTAAAGCATTGCAGGTTAGTAAACATGTGAATATAATCAGTGGTATGAAGCTGCTTGTGGTGAGCACTCTTGCATAATGTAGGTTCCCTTAAACAAGATGATATAGGTTTCATACCTAATTTCAAAGGCTGGCCCCTTCTGCTTCACTACCTAAACTGGTTCACGATTCACCCCTCAACGTCAGCGGTTAATGTTGCTCTATGATTGGTGAATGAAATTAGCAAGGCTGAAGTTACTGACACCTTTGTTATCAACATTCTGATTTCACTCTCTCTTACTTCCCTCACTTGCGGACGTGTATCAGTGGTTCTACCTTCTTCTTGCCCCCAGCACACGATGCGAAGTTTGCGTTTTATAAAAAAGCTCCGGAGAGATCACTCAGAGAAAAGATCAGTGCATAAGAGCCGGTCCGGTGATGGTTTGTCGAAGCCAGAGTCGCTTGCTACCGCGCTGCAAGGATCACAGCAAGAAACCGATGATCTATGGTTGAAAGCAGAGCTGCTGCTAAAGAAGGATGAGAAAACCAGCAAAATTTTAGCGGCAGCTACTGAGATCCTCGAAGCGGATTTCCACTTCCAAGTTCCGTCGAACGCATTGATCGCCCGTGACCAAATCTGCAGTTTTCTTAATGCTCAAGCCCGTGAGCTGGAAGAGAAAAAGTGGGTGGTTACGCTGGGCGGACACAGTATCAAAGTAGCGGACCAGCTCACTAGGACTTTCCGAAATGTATTGATCATCAAGGACGTTATTAACACTGCTGCTACTGCAAGCCCACCAGCTGCCATAGCCTGTGCAGGGGTTATGGTTGGTCTTCTGGTATGGTCATTTCGTTCCTTTGACTCATTATTGTCACCTTTCTGAATAGCACTTAGCTCATTGTGCAAGCCGTCGAGCAACATGAAAATCTCTTACGGGGACTAGAAACGACCTCGGCCTTGATCCCCCGCCTTCACCTTATAGAAGACCTCTATCTGCATCCCAATGTGGAAGTCACCGCTCAATTAAGGAAGGAATTCAGCGAAACTTTGACATTATTATACTCCAAGGTCATTGAATTCCAAGCTCGAGCGATATGCTACCTGCAAAAGCACTCAGTTTCCCGGCTCTTCAGAAACATGTTCAAGCAAGATAGGTGGAGTAACTTACTGCAAGACATGCAACGACTTGAAACAAACACTCAGAGCTTCGCTTCCATTATAGAACCCACGGTGGTGAGAGAAAAGCTCAATAATATTGAGAAGGCATTCTCAAAGAACCAAATTTGGCGAACCACTTCAACTCAGGATGAAAAGGTCAAGCAATTCTTTAAGCTGCTCTACACCTGCCCATATAGAGATCGCAAGGACAGGAATAGCAAGCGCGTGCCAGGTACATGTGAATGGTTTACCAACCACACTCTATTCCACAAGTGGGAGCACAGCGATCAATCTGGTCTCTTGTGGGCGACAGCCGACCCAGGATGCAGAAAGTCAGTATTGACTAAGTTCTTGGTTGATGATATTCTCCCCAGCCACAGAAGAACGGTCTGTTATTTCTTTTTCAAGGATGATTTTCCTGACCAGAGGAGCACCACCAACGCACTGTCAGCAATCTTACGTCAACTTTTCATGGCTCAGCCACATCTCCTATCAGATTCAGTATTGGAGAAACAGGACACTGATGGGGATAAACTCACCGGATCATTTCATAACTTATAGGATATATTAACTAACGTCGCAAGCCACCCGAAAGCTGGGGAGATCATTTACGCATTGGATGCCCTAGATGAGTGTCAGGAAGACGACCAGAAACAGCTCATTCAAGCTTTGAAAAGTCTGTATTCAGAACGCCCCAAGAAACACAACTTAAAGTTCCTGGTGACAAGCAGGCCCTACGATCACATACGTCGCGGTTTCCAGGAATTAGAAGACAAGGTGCCTACAATCCATTTAAGTGGCGAAGGTGAGGTTGAGACCCAGGAAATCTCGCGTGAAATCAACCTCATTATCAAAAAGCGGGTCGCGGACATCAGCAAACAGGACAACCTACCACCAGATGAGTGTTTATATCTGCAGCAGCAACTCACGTCTGTCCTCAATTGGATGTATCTCTGGGTCAGCCTTACCCTTGATGTCATCGAGAACATGTCCGGCTTTATGAAAGGAAATATTCGACAGACCGTATGAAACCTGCTGCAAAATGTTGACGAGGCTTACGACAGGATCCTTAATTGGTCTTCTGAAAAGGACAAGGCCAGGAAACTGCTACACATTATCACTGCTGCAGAGCGCCCACTGTCATTGTGGGAGCTCGCTTTGGCCATGGCATTTAGTGCTGGACATGTGTCAATGCCAGATATCTGGGACGAACTTGAGGAGGACGATAAAAAATTCGAAAGGAGCATAAGAGCTCTCTGTGGTCTCTTCCTTGTTGTAATGGATGGAAAAGTTTACTTGCTTCACCAAACTGCAAAGGAGTTCTTAGTGGGGAGCAGCCAGTTAGCACAACTATCGCCCAATGATTCTCTTCAGACCAATACATGGAAACATTGCTTGAAGTCAGAGGAGTCTCACAAAATTCTCGCACACACGTGCATGTCGTATTTGACTTTGGTCCATGATACCACAGCGGATTCCCTGCACTATTTTCTTGAGTATGCGGCATGCAACTGGCCATCCCACTTCCGCAGAGCTTTTGCACAATATGAGCATGAGGCAGCTGAATTAGGATATAAGCTTTGCCGATCAGGGTCAGAGGTTTACGAGTCTTGGTCCAAGGAATATAAAAAATCGCACGCGCGAGGATACGAATTTCCAGGAGATCCTACTGCTCTTCTGATTGCTTCTTATTTGGGGCTTACGGCAGTCGTGAAGCTACTTCTGGACACTGAAAGGGTGTATGTCGACTTTAGGGATTCTGTATTTGGTTGGACACCTCTTTTATGGGCTGCAGGGAATGGGCATGAGGCAGTTGTGAAGCTACTTCTGGATACTGGAAAGGTGGATGTCAACTCTAAGGATTCTAAATATGATTGGACACCTCTATCATTGGCTGCAGAGAATGGGCATGAGGCAGTTGTGAAGCTACTTCTAGACACTGACGAGGTGGACGTTGACTCCATTGATTCTGATGGTCGGACACCTCTGTCATTGGCTGCAGAGCGTGGGCATGAGGCAGTTGTAAAGCTACTTCTGGATACTGGAATGGTGGATGTTGACTCCAGGGATTCTGAATATGATTGGACACCTCTGTCATTGGCTGCAGAGCGTGGGCATGAGGCAGTTGTGAAGCTACTTCTAGACACTGACGAGGTGGACGTTGACTCCATTGATTCTGATGGTTGGACACCTCTGGCATTGGCTGCAGAGAGTGGGCATGACGCAGTTATAAAGCTACTTCTGGACACTGGAAAGGTGGATGTCGACTACAGGGATTCTGATGGTCAGACACCTCTTTCATGGGCTGCATGGAATGGGCACGAGGCAGTTGTGAAGCTACTTCTAGACACTAAAAAGGTGGATGTCAACTCCAGGGATTCTGATGGCCAGACACCTCTGTCATTGGCTGCAGAGCGTGGGCATGACGCAGTTATAAAGCTACTTCTGGACACTGGAAAGGTGGATGTCAACTCCAGGGATTCTGATGGTCAGACACCTCTTTCATGGGCCACGAAGAATGGGCAAGAGGCCATTGCCACAAGCTAGTGAACACCGGCATTGCATCACCCTCAGTGAAGTAAAGCACTTCGGTCCTCTGAAATTTGGCAAATCTGCGCAAATAAAAAGCACTGTGCTTTTCATGTTTAAGCAGCTAAAATGTTGCCACAGCATAATTTAAGAGACCTCATTCCAGACAAGTACATAGACAGAACAAGTTATCCAAATCGTACACTACTGACCAAGTTTCCTCCTGACCAAGTCATTCCGATGGAAATCACCCTAGCCAAGCAACAGGTAAACCTGTAGCTATACAGCGCCAGCAACACCCAACCCCACACGCGCATAACTCGTCCGCACATAAGCAAGCTCAAAACCAACCCTCTCCGCATTCCCAGAACTGGCTGTACCCGGCCGAGCCTCAACAACGGCTAGTCTACAACCCAGCTCGACCGCATCTGACAATCTTGCCTGCATCAACAGGCGCTGGATGCCTTTCCCCCGCGCCCAGGGGAGCACGCTATCAATGTACAGGAGTGCGATGCCGTCCACGATGGCCATACCCGCTGAACCTGCGACCTTGCCGTCGAGGCGAGTGAGGTAGAGGTGTGTATCTAATTGCGTTCGGTGAGCGGCGCTTTGCGCGAGGAGGTGGAGGAGGGCTGGTGGGCGGCCTGTGCTGTGGAAGCCGTCGATAGAGGCTGTGATGAATGTGTTGAGCTCCGGGGGCGAGACAGGAACTTTGGTGATTTGGACTGGGGTGTCGAGTTCAGAGACAGGAATGCTGGGTTGGAGAGACATGGCGTAGACGTTGATTGACCCTGTCGGCCTGTACCCGTTTACCTTTAGGAGGGATGAAGCGGATGGATGCGCGTGCGAACATAGATCAATTTCCACGTTTGTGTTACGCTGTTGGCAGTGATGATGAAGGGCGTCAAGACTTTCTGGTGGGACGGGCCCGTTCATCCCCCAGCCTGTGGCGTGGTTGAGCTTGCGGCCGTACTCGGGGGAGGATATCATGGCCAGGCCTGGGGAGAGAGGATGAGAGGTGAATTTGTCTGCGCCATGGAGAGTTTGGAGGGAGGTAACTTGGCGACAGATGTGGGTTGTTGATGCTGCTTCCAGGGTGAAGGGATCCATTGTGGCATCTGACATTTTGAGGTGATGATTTTGTCATGTGTATACATACGTGAATGCTGGAAGTTTTTATGTCAAGAATGAGTCATAGGGTCTAAGCGTGATCTTCTGTACGGTTGGTACTAACAGTGGAACAGTATACACTCTCTAATATTATCAGCTAGACTTCATGAAACAGTTCAAAAATGATTAGAACTACTAATAATAGTACAATCATTCCTGTTCGGGGATCGATGACTCAATCGAAACCCTTCTACTCTGTGCCCTTGGAGCTTATCCTAGTCCCCCGGTACATCTCAACCGCCCTAATCGCCAACGCAGTCGTAAGACCTCGATTACCAACGTTCATCTTGGTCGATCCAAACCGGTAAAACGCACCGGGTTCCCACGAGCCATCCTCGCTCTGCATAGCAAGCAGTTCCCGGACATCTACTTCAACTTGCGATATACCCACAGACAAACATGCAAGGATCCGCAGAGCCAGTGCCAGAGAGTCCGCTTTGACCTGAATGCGCTCCTTGAGGCGATCCGTGAGCAACTTCTCCAGCAGCTGCAGCGTCGGCACCTTCTTGGAGAACCGGCACAATTGACTGACAAAGTAGAGGAAAACCTCCGGGCTGGGGTAGTACCGCGTACCGTGCAAGTGGGCGCGATGCTCAAGAACGTCGTATACCCACTGGAGGGTCAATGGGAGATCGGCGCCCCGGCCGTAGGTATAAAAGAGACGGAGGACATTGACGCAGACTGCTGGGTCGATTCGCTGTCGGCCCTTGTCAAAGTACGTCTGTAGGGTCTTAGTAGGTTGCTAGTTGCGGACGGGTGCATACGAACGTTTACAATGCCCTCGTCACTGACCACCTCGGAAATCTCGTCGAGAACCGAGTTGACTGTGTCATCATCGGCAGGGAGAATCATCAATGCAATGGATGTTGTGTCGACATCATCCGGGAATGCTTCTGACGTAGAAGGGGGTTCTCCTAAGGGGTGGTTAACCACAGGAAGCTACCTAGGCATCGACTGATCATACCTTGAAAGAAGTTCCAGCTCCCCTGCTGATATTCAAGGTTGACCAGGCTCTTATCACCCGTCGCCTCCAGGATGAGCAGCTGCGAGAAGTTTTCCCGGATGACTTGACCGGTCTCGCTGATACTATACAACGCCCCAACATTGCGCCGTAGAAACTCTCGACCTCTTTCTACAGGGTCCAAGACCAAATTTCTGAGCCGCTAACTGAGCTCACGAGCACCGGTGTAGACAATGCCGTGCATACCCGTCGACTGCGCAGAAACTACATTCTCCAGCTGATCATCAATAAAGATGACCTGATCCGGCGGCACTGCAATCTCCCGCAATACTTTCTTGTAGAACAACAGCTCTGGTTTCCTCGTCCCGTAGCATCCAGACGGGAATACTCCGTCAAAGATGCCCAACTCGGGCTGAGTCTGGAGCACAGCTGCATAATCTGGGGCGGAAATGTTGGACATGGCATAGATGGCAATATGTCCAGCCAACGCTCTGATCTCCGATATCAGGCTAACGATTGCTGCGTCCGTGACAAGAGACTGCTGTGCTTTCCTTAAGCTGAGCGCAATTTCCGACGAGTCGACGCCAAACTGTTCGGCTAGGCTCTCGTAGCAGCTTTCCTCGCTCACCTTGCCGCGCTCGTAATCTGCCCAGGTTGGTGAGCTGAGCATTTTCTTGAAGAGCCTGGGCAAGACAGCAGTGTCTTTGGGAGCGTGCCAGGTGAAAAAGACATCCCCTAGGTCAAAGATGATTGCTTTGTAATGAGACGATTTCTGTCGGGTCATGGTGGGCCAATGATGGGATAGATAAGAGGATGAAAATAGATACTAGATTGGAAGTTCATATCCATGAGGCCCTGCCTATTTATAGGAAATATCATCGTCTCTGTAGAGCCGCGCGAAAGCCTCTACCTGGATTTTACGATTAATCATCACCTTTGACAAAGTTCGGTGATACAGTTGACAGGACCAATCAAGACTACCGGGATACGCTCTTGTCTGAAGATAGACTCTTAGTGCAGTAATAGCCTTTGGGAATGTCCTTTGAGGACGAAATATAGATCTATGTTAGATGCTGGATGGCTCACATATAGCAGTTGCATGAAAAAGTGGGGAACCAAACCCTATCTACCACGAGTCTGGGACGGACTATGCAACTTTCTATAGATGCATATGGAGGGCCACTATATTTKAGACAAAAATTTTGCATCCTCAGGTCAACCCCTGTACTATATTGATCGCAGAAATATCTATAAGCTTAATCAAAGGCAATTTGTACGAAGTAATATTTAGTTGCTCCAGTTAGAGTGGCTAAGAAAGAGCACTGGCACATACCTCAATTTTCTTGCAAGCTAGCCCATTTTCGAATAAAAATCACTTCGAGGATTTGTTAAAAACAAATGATGTAAATCTCATTATACTATACTATTACAGCTGTAATGAAAGTGTTTTGTAGCGGGTGGATTTATACAATTTCAATACTAAGCTATAGAAATATCAAACCCTAATATCTGCTAGCGTAAACAAGTACGGAAAATGCCTCCTGGGGGGATGAGCCGCTTACAAAGCTGTCCATCTGCGGTCATCCGGTCATCCTTGGGTACCATTAACGTCCCTAATTACCCTACAAGGCTTTCTGCCGACAACGTTTCAAGGAACCCATCGACAAAATCGAGTCAGGGCATGCTCAAAACATTTGGATCTAGAACTCCCGATTCATTCATTACTAATCGTACAACTATATGAGTAGTAAGAGAGCGAAGAGCGGCCGCGTCTACATACCAACAAGTCAAGCCTAGAATATCCTATCAATCAGAGACACTCTTATCAATTCAGCTTACGTTGTTCTGCCTTACGTGATGGATGCTGAGATGACGGAAGAGAAAGCTCTCCGATCATGCGCTGGTTGCAGAGATCGAAAGAAAAAGTGTGATAAAAGTCTACCTCAGTGCGGACGTTGCAAAAGGTAAGGTCTTGCCTGTGCCTTAGGGCTTACATGGTCTACCGGTTCCTGTGCATATCCGCCTCATCGATGCCGGTCAAGCACCGTTGCTGACATTGATAGCAGGCTCTCATTGCAGTGCTCATATGTGGAGCCTTCGAATGATACAAATCGTTTAGAGGAGATCATAAAGCGATTAGACTGTCTCGAAGTCATGGTAAAAGCACTGACACAGGAAGTCAGCGCATTAAAAAATGTCCCGGCAAGCACTGCCTTACCACCAGGTCCCCGCAGTGATTTATCGCATCAGACTGCTCTTCGTCAGAATGACAACGAAGCAGTCTCTCCGTTACCTTTCGAGGGATCACCTCAGAGCTTACTCTGTGTGGTACTGCTGTCAAATGAAATCAGCCTCTCGGATCTAACGAGCTTTTACTTTCAATCTGTGCACCAAAGACTAGGACTCTTATCTGAAGAGCGATTGAAAGGGTATTGTGCAGTATATCCTGTCCAACTTGATAAGGAATCTAGCATCCTATTCCTAGCACTTTCCTTGTTGTGGCTGCCAGTCCATCATGAGCGCCGTATCTTCGACGCAATCAAGCACGAACTGTTCCTCACTACCCATTCGGTATCAGAAAAGCTAGTCCTGGTCCAGGCTGGCTTACTTCTATGCTACTATATGCTCACTCAGGGCATGATTGAAGACGCTTCCATGGTCATTACAGCCTGTGGGGGACCTAGTAGCTGCCTGGGTTCTAAAGCACATGCTACCAAAAATCGAAATGGAGAAAGGGTCAATCCAGAAGAGGAACTTGCTCTACGCCGGACCATCACTTGTTTAGAGAGGTTTCCTTCCCCGACAACTATATGAATGCATCTCCCTAATCAGTGCTTTTACATATATAGTCTTATCGCGGCTCTCTCCTCCGACCTGTCCGCTTTGTCTTCTCAGCGAGGACCCTTTTGGAACCAAGCAGACAAGCATTTAAGCGGCCTGTCCGACGACATCTCCGCTGACATCGAACCATCAATGACTGGCCCGATTTCTCGGCACCAAATTTTGGACCAGACAGCCGTACCTTTGCTTAGGGCCGTGTACGAATACGCGGAGATGCCAATTCCCTCCCAATCGTCCATTTTCCATATGGGCCTGGAGATTGACATCAAAGTTACGAGGCTTATCTTTGAAATGAAAGGTGCCGACGACCCACCGCCGTTCGATCAAGTCCGTGAAGGAGGATACGTCGTTGCTCTGTGGTATGTACATTCCAGACCTCGTATGGTTCAAAATCTATCTGAAAGAAAACTAATGTTGGCCAAGGGCTCTCATACGACTCCATTTATCTCTGCTGGAGAGAGCTCGCGAGCTCAACGAGCCCCAGTTTGAGGAAGTCTCGGTGATCAGTTTGACCCGACTCATCTCAATCATTGTGCAAATCTCACGCCTGACCCAGCGTGCCCTGGACGATGCAACGGTGCATATTCGTCATCTACCTTTGAGCCTCTGCCCGGTCCTGTATCTCTCAGTTATCGCACACGGCCATCTGCGGTCAGGGCAGAGCAAACATGATCAATCCGTCATCAAAGGGCTTCTTGTTGCGCTGCGTAATAGATGGAAGCTACCCGGTAAGCCAGCCACAACCAGCTAATCTATGACTGAAAGGTCTAACTGGAATCGCATTGCTGTGGTGTTAGGACGGTATCTTGAGCTCCTGGATCAGCACGACGTCCCGAGATATGACCGCGCGTTAGACAATTAACTGGCTAACTACTCACTCTAACAGTGACCTAACGCGATTTAATGCCCTTGATAGAATTACTGCTAAGACGCTGAATTCTATTGGAGAAGATATCTACAAACACTACGAACATGAGATACCTAGGCTTGCAAAGCAGTAAGGGATTCCACTGAACTATACTGTTTTGAACAAATCGCTAGCCAGATTATTATGCAACATACCATTCCCTAGGAAGCTTTACTGATTGATTTGTGACATTTTGAATTGTACTGGTTGATATGATTATGCTGCTAAGGTCAGCTAAGGAAGGCGGCCGCCCTGTCCGCTCCGCCCTTCAAGATAATGATGCTTACATACCACAGCAGGAATGGCATGGCTCCTCCTCGGACCCTGATTTATAATTCAATATCAAAAGCATGATGAGGGACATTGTTGGGCCGGTATCTCCTGGCTTATTTCCGAGGATAAATACTTTAAGACCGACAATGGCACCATGCGCGACCATATAAAGATCAATCGGAGATCAATCAGAACCGATCTTGATTTCGTGCCTTACTTCCCGTTTCCTCCGTTACTTGCCGAAGAAAAGATGAGCAAACTACTAGTTGTCTTCGGCGCTACCGGCCAGCAAGGAGGATCTGTCGTTGAGACCGTCCTCAATGACCCCCAGCTGTCAAGTGAATATCGCATTCGGACACTTACTCGCGACCCCAGCAAGCCCGCTGCTCAGAAGTTAGCTCAGAAAGGAGTGGAAGTGCTGCAAGCAGATTTGGATGATGTTGCTAGTCTCGAAAGGCTCTTCAGGGGCGCCAATGCCGTCTTTGCGGTCACCGAGACAGTGCACGACGAGCAGACGAAGGCGCGCGACTACGCCCGTGGAAAAGCTCTGGTCGATGCCGCGTCGGCTGCCGGAGTTGAATTCTACATTTACAGCACCCTTCCCGCCATTACCAAGATCTCCAACAACAGATTCAAACATGGCGAGCATTTCGACGTCAAGGCTGAAGTAGAGGACTATATCCGCTCTCTGCCGATCCGCAGTGCCTTCGTCTCTCCCGGGTCGTTCATGCAGAACTTCCTGGGCATGATGGTTCCCGTGCCCGTTGGCGATGGTACCTTTGCTGTCTCGAGTGTCGTTACGCCAGAGACCCGGCTGCCTATGCTTGATGCAGCGGCGGATATGGGCAAATTCGTTGCCCCGATGCTCCTTGACCCGGCCAAGTACCAGGGTCGAGTCGTTCACGCTGCAACCAAGCTGTATTCCATGAACGAGATTGTAAAGGTCATGAGCGACAAGAGTGGCAAGGTCGTCAAGTACAATCAGCTCCCTGTGAATGTGTTCAAGAGTTTCATGCCGCCTCTGGTTGCAGACAGAGTTGTGGACATGATGCTCTACATTCAAGACTTTGGCTGCTGGGGCCCAGAAACTGAGAAGATCCTGGCGGCAAGCGTCGCGGAAGCGCATGGGGAACCGACTACTCTGGAGGAGTTTTTTGACAAGCACGGTGTCCATCTTCAATCCGGTCCGTGAAGAACCGAGAGACTTGGGAATACGTAATCTACTGTGGAGATGCATAATTAGAGTGAATACGCGTATCGTTGGATAGGACCTGGCCAGAGCCTCTACAAGCATAGTGTTCCTCATCAGTGATATGGTTATCAGAATCTTGACGTCAACCTAGAAATCTACCGTATCAGCTTGAATTGTGTCGACCGAATCCCCTTTGGAAAATCCAACCAATAGCACAGGTTATACCCATCCAGAGAAGATACATCTTTCTATTACCTTCAAGAGTTGGAAGCTAACACAGCTCGAGGGTTATAGATCAATGGCTATCTATGAACAAGAACGGCAGTACCAGTACCCTGGTTCCCATGGGCTGTTCGTCCGCAATATCTATGCCCGGGACCAAAAAGCCCAGATCGGCATGATCATCAACAGTAGACTGCACAGTGGACAACCCAAGCTTACGCTATCTTGGCCAAAGTTTTAGTGGAGGGGCCCCTCGGCGCCAAAGCAACCCTAAATGCATCTTTAGGCTCAACTGCGCTTCATAAAATCTGCATCGCCTTTTTCTTCATGGATATTTGGCCGGGAATCATCTCCTCTGGACTTGCGTGACTTGTCCATTTCTAGATTTTCATGCTTGCTTTTTCCTTCTACTGCCCCCAGGGTCTGTTACTATACCTTTAATTTCCTTTGTTAGGCTATCTTCTCTCACTATATAGATCGAATCACATCCACCAGCATCTCCAGAGTACGGGCCATAGATGGTATGTCAGCGAACAAGGTCAGGCTGTGGTTATGGCTACAATTGTACTGCAGAGACAATCACGGGCTCAATTTGCACTGATCTCAAGGGTAATTTCTGCCTTTGTCGGTACACAAGCTCATAACTAAACATGTGATGAGGAAGTGACCAAGCTAGACTCGGACTGATACGTGGCGCGAGATGTAATCCTAATATACAGGATAAGGTGGAAGTTAATTCAAAGACCAGCCCGCTAGCTACATATGAACATCAAATCTTCTCAGCAGGGAGTTCAGGAATATCCGGGCTAGGGCCCACAGGGAATATCTCGCTCCCCTTTGCCTGCATATAACCCAGTTTCATACTCTTAAAGTCCGTCGTCCGCCGGAACGCCCCGCCGTTGGTCTTGTCAGACGAGTCCCAGTACAGCCGGAGATACCAGTTATGGATATTCGGATAATCATGCCGGATCATCTTGAGATTACATTTGAAGAGCAGATAATACCCCACGTCAAACCGCGCCACAGTCGTGTAGAGCCTGATGTCCGCTTCGGTGATATGCTCCCCAAACAGATACGGCGAGTGGCCCGGCTGCGCCAGGTGCGCCTCGACGCGGTCCAGGGCGTCGAACAGCGGGTACACCGCTTCCTCGTAGGCTTCCTGCGTGGTGGCGAATCCGGCACGGTACACCCCGTTGTTGATGGACGGATACACCCAGTCGTTCATGGCGTCGATCTCGGCGCGCAGGGACGGCGGGTAGAAGCCCCTCCCTCCCGTCGCGGGATGCTGCGACTCGCGCAGGTGCTGCGGCAGCAGGTCGTCAAACTCGGTGAAGAACATGCGGATGATCTCGCTGCTCTCGTTGTTGACGATGGTTTCGTGCTTCTTGTCCCAGAGTACGGGGACGGTGATCCGGCCGGTGTAGGACGGGTCTGCTTTCAGGTAGAGCTGCTTCAGCGTTTGGAACCCATACACTGGGTCCTGCGCGGCAGTCCCAAATCGGCCGGTGTAGTGCCAGCCTTCAGGACCGCCCTGGGGATCGAGTAGTACCCTCTGGATTATCGCGTCAAGGCCCTTGAGCTGATGGACTATGTTTGTCCGGTGCGCCCAGGGGCAGCCGAGATTGATGTAGAGGACGTAGCGATCCTTTTCAGGCCGAAAATGTGCGTCTGGGGACCGGGAAATGGAAGAGCGAAAGACGCTTGGAGGCCGCTCAAAGTGGCCTCCTTTAATGGGCAATGAAAGTGTGGACATCTGCATGCTCTCATCAGCTCACAATTCAAATGATCATAGATTAAAAAAAGAACGCCCGTACCACTCAGGTATATACCTGCAATCCTGAAAGCAGGGTGAAAATGCGGTAGATTGAACTAGCATAGATTCGAGAGTCATCTCCGAGCAGCGAGAGGGAGACTTTATCGAAAATGGCCAGCGGCGTAAACAAAGGCAGTGGCATGACGGTTCCGATGTCATAGACTTTGGTGGTGCTGGCGACGGGCGGCCGCCATAACCGACCCGGGAGCCCATTTGTAAGCGATCGTCACGGAAGCCGTCACTGGCTTGTTATACTGCAGATTTGATTAGAAGGGTATGACAAAGTGGATTTATCATCAACATCTGCGTGCATTTCCGTCCTACTTCGCTATCTGATGAGTGTGGGTAGCCTAGAATCGCAGGAGGCTGGTCCCCTGGTCAGCAGTGCTTGACGTTGAGATATACTACACCATTGCTGCTGACTACTCTCTTTCAAAATCAAGAAAGACGTATTCCAAGAATGGAGCCATCAATTCATAAATTAAAAGTCGATATCTATTGAAGCGGATAAGAAAGTACATATATTACGCCAGCCCTGCCATACTGGCCGCCTTGGAGACAAAAAAGTCCTTTCCCTTCATCTTTGCCACCATCCAGCCCCAGGGGACGAAGCCCATCATTTGACCGGTTCCAGTTCTGGATCCAAGAGGAACAAACATTAGTATCTTCTTTTTGTCTGCGGCGGCGTGGACATCGTAAGCTGCTCTTGCTGTGCTGGTCCCTTTGATATCAGCCTTCAGATTCTTAACCAAGACCGGAACCTGCTCGTTGACTTTGATCGCGGTCCGGGTTGGGAGGGTCGTAATATCGCCGACAGCGTAGATGTGCGGCAGTATCGATTTCGCAGATCGGACGTGAAACTTGTTGTCGATCCGGACCCAGCCCGCTTCGTCTAGGAAGTCACGGGGAATGTAGCTACTGTTCGGAATGAGGCCTGCGGTCGAGACGTAGAGGTCTGCGGTCAAGGATTGGCCGTTGGATAGATTCACGGTCCAGGACGAACCGTGATTCACGGCGTCCGTGACCTTGTGGCCCTTGACGACCTTCACGCCGCGGCTGACCAGATACTTCTCAGCTGTATTGCCGGCGGATGCCTTAAGCGCTGGGAGTAGCTGTTGCGTAGCAGAGACCAAGGTGATACTGCTCTTGGGTCTGTCCGACCACGCTTCCAGCAGTTCGCCGACAAATTCGACCCCGATCGGCCCTGCTCCGCCGACGATGATACTTGTCGCGGCCGCGATGGCTTCTTGCGCACTGCGGATCGCGGGCTCCAGGCTGTTCGGCCCATAGGGCTTGTATGGGACCAGAACCCCCTCTTGGGTAGATTTCGTCGAGGAACCAGACGCAAGCACCAGATAGTCAAATGGCACGGTGGCGATCTTCCCTTGGTCAGAAGTGACGGTCACAGTGTGGCCAGGCTCGTCGATCCCCGTCGCATGGCCGACAATCAGCTGGAATCTCTTGCCATAGTGAGCAAACGCCTTGGCAATCGGTATCAGGTACTCCTCGGGCCGGAAGGCCTTTGGTTTGGCGAGGATACGGGGCGCTGCAATGCAGTAATAGAATTTTTCGGAGGGATTGATCACGACGACTCGAATCTTGTCGCCCTTGACTTCCTCCAGCAGGCCACGCGCGACTTTAAGACCTGCGAACGAGCCGCCGACAATGACCACGGTCTTTGGCCCCATTTGGTAATTTGACAATGCTGATACAAGAGATGGAGTTAAGGTAAGAAGCGAATGGGGACGATCAGGGAATTACTAGTAAAAAGTCCAAAAGTGTGAGCTGGTCATGGTGCATACTGTTGGTGTCTTTTATAGAAAACGTGAGCTTGGCGCCGTGATGCTATTCCTAATTTTCATCCGTTCGGAAAAGCAGCAATGATATGTAAGCTGGTTTGTCAGGATGATCTAATTCGTAGGGTTATTGCTAAGCACTGGCTCAGCAGATATGTTATTATGTATACTTTTTCTTGCTTACACAAATGAGGGCGGCCGCCCGCCCCGCCAGTACCGTTATAACGGACAATGAGAATCTCTGATTACCAAGAGTTCGGAGTTCGGACTCCACAAGATAGTCTTCAAACTCAGCTGTGATACCATCATAAGTCTGCTATTGCAGAAAGAGTCATAAGTTATAAGCAAATGATAGGCTTACTCCATCCCAGACGTATGAGACGAGGTAACTTGTCAGCTCAGGTTTTCTGCCTTATGAGTGCTGAGGTGCATGTAGTCTATCCTCATACTATGGCCCTAATTTGTAATAGACGATCCTTGGGCGGCCGCGACATACATCTTTGGCGAAGGAGTCCCCGGGGCCGCCTCTTTGACCTGAGAATTCCTTCCTGGTTGTCTATGTCGTTGGAAAATACAAGTTTGCCCCTCGTCTTCCGGCAGGGTATTTCGTGATTATCTCCAAAGTTGCAGACAACTGCTGGAATGGTCTAAAGCCATCGGAGATGCTCTGAGCAGGCCGGCAAGGGTCATTCATTTTCCTCAAGAATCCACCAATTGCAGACCAGTAGTAGATTTTGATAACTCCCACTATATCTGATGGAAAGATGACATCCGTTCTGTATTGTCATGTCATATTGAACGTAGAAATTCTATTAGCTGATTCGACAGTGACCGCTCAACATGCAGATTTCAGCCTTTTAAAGCGTGACAGACATTCTAGCACGAAGACGTTCGCCATATCTGTAGAAAAGAAGAGGCCCCGGGACAAACGCAAGGGCAAGGAATCCCAGCAAGGTATTGCCCCAACCGTAGTTCAAAGCATCGTACATGCTTGGCCCCGCCAGCGGCAGAAAGGTACTGAAAATATAACGCAGGAGGTTATTGGCTCCGAGCGCGGAGGCAGCAGCTTGGGAACCAAATATGTCGACCAGATAGAGCTGCGCGGGCATCTGTGTGGATTAGAGGGCTGCATTGAATTGGGAGAAAAAAGTTGGACTACGTACCATGACGAAAAAGGCCCCAAACCCCATAAAAGCAGTACCGACAATAGGCACCATCCAATGGACCTTGTAGTAGGCTGTCCAGCCGTATATGAAGAGGCCGAGGCTAACAAGCGGACTGAACCAGATCATAGGAAGTAATCGATACTCCGGCCGGGGCTGTTGCACCCCCTCAGTCTTCGACTGAGCTGACTGAAGGCGGCTATTCAGGATGTTGAATATGAGCATGCCTGCGACAAGGGAGACTCCGAGACCGAGGTACACCAGCCCGGACACGGAAGTGCTGAACCCGTACTGGCCCTCGAATACGCCAGTGAAGGTGGTAAATAGCAGATACATCACTCCAAACACCAAGGCCACATAGAGGGATATGACAAAGAGGATAGGCGACCGGAACAGAAGCACAGTAGGTCGGATAAGCACCTGGAGGAGAACCTGACGCGGGGTGAGGGGCTTTCCGGCAAGCTTGGAACGGAGATGATGATACTCGGGGACAGCGCGGAGACTGGCAGTTTTGCGCTCGAGGATGATCTTGGGATGTGTTTCGCTCATGATAACAAAAGCAGAAATACCACAGAATCCTCCCAAGATCGCTAGTAACCAGAAAGTCCAGCGCCAGCCTTTACTTGCAGCGAGGAAGCCTCCGATGACAGGGCCAAGAACCTGGAACGAGATCGGACTGGTTATTTAAAAGCTCCAAGGGCAAACGAGACACCCAGAGATAAGACTTACCGGTCCTGCGAGTGGCCCCATGCTAAACAAAGCCATCGCAACCGCCCTTTGCTCAATAGTGGTGATGTCTGCAATGGTTCCTCCCCCTAGAGCCATCGGGGTGCCGCCCGCACAGCCTGATATGAATCGGAAGACCAGGAATTGAGCGACGTTCCGGCTCAGCGCATTGCCAATAATGAAGGCGACGAAGATAATATTGGCAGTATGGTATACCGGCATACGTCCGTACACCTCGCTGAGGGGAGACATGAACATGGGCCCAATGGCCAATCCAAGGACATACAGAGTGATGGCGAGGGTGCTGACGGCACTGGAAGTAATTCCAAGATCTGCAGAAATACCACTAATTCCAGGTGCGCACATTGTCGGAGCCATATTCCTACCTCAGGGTAAACGCTCTGACACCGCAACTCACCACTAGAGGGACAGGACTTACGTGGTGAATGCTAAAATGGAAATGATGACAATATGCGTCCATTTCTTTTTCTTCGGCCAGTTTTTCGGATTGGTGGGATCGTCCGCACCGTCCCAGTCGACAATACTGGTCTCTTCCACCTCACTGTCATTGCCTTTCTCCAGCCGGTTCGTAACCATATCAGACCCATGATTGGGCATAATGTCAGGTCTGGACGCAATGTGTTGTGAAAGCACTCGGAAAGCAAAGAGGTGAGCTGCTCGGAAGACGAAAAGCAATTAAGTTATCTGCAAAAGATTTCGATGCGTGTCGAAATACCCTCACAGCTGACAGAGGCATTGCTGCGTTTAAGAGACTGTCACTGCGGGCAAGACCATGTAAACAAAGTGCGAGGTCACACGGAGATAGGAGAGTCAATTCATTGACGTCCGGCATGACGACCATGAACAAAATGGGTGATGTTGTCTAGTCTCAGTATTCATCCCGAAGGCAATTAGGAGGATCGGAGCTTTGGTAAGTCAAGATGTAGATAGAATCATAGAATGATAGTGTCCCTGTCACCGGAGAATTGCATGTACTCGTGTCGATCATCCGCAGTGGGGCGTCGGATGGTCGGAGGAGATGATCGGAGGATCGGGGATTGACCACAGTAATGTATGATCTATGGAGTCATTAAGATTGACCTCTTCACCTTGATTTCCGCGTGTCAATTCTCGGTCTTCCAGCATCGACACGGACATGGAGATGGGCATGATCAGGAGTATTCGTCGACCAGTTCCTTTGTCACGTGATCGGCTATATTGGGTGATCTTCCTCATCTTCCCCTGTCATCTATTGTACACCAACATATCAACATCGACTCTTGCGGCGGCAGGCCCCTCGGACTGTTCATACACTGTATGGCTATCTTTGATGACATGGCATCTGAAGCTTTGTAGATGCTAATTTGGTTTGCACAGTGGCAAAAGGGTACCTGGACAACCATGTCAACAACGGATTCAAGACATTGCTCATTGGAATCGTCTTCACAAACACCCCGGGAGACTGATTTGGCTATGTTACGGCAGCTTCCAAATCCCAGTCGACGTCGTCGAAATAAGCGTCAGCTGTCTTGCAACTCGTGTCGACGTCGAAAGTAAGTGGCTTGTGTGATTTCGATCTGTTTGATTCTTTGATGATGCGAGGCTGAATATTCATGTTCTGCAGATCAAAGTGTGACCGGCAAAGACCTTGCTCATTTTGCTCGGCTCGCGGTCAGATATGTACATACACTGAGAATCTTCCAACTACGGGCTCTCCAAAGCCGTCTTCAACCGCTGTGCCTACTGTACATGAGCGCCTTGTACAGCTGGAGCGCTTGGTTACATCCATGATGCCCAGATCCTCGAATGGGAGACCCAATGCTAGTTCATCTGCCAAGGTGGGTATGCCACCAGCGCCCGCAAGGATCACTCCGGCCGAAACTATGCCGGTAGACACACCGATTGATGGACAGTCAGAGCGTGGAAGTATGCGTATTAGTAACTCAGAGCTTCGCTATGTTGGGGGCGACCACTGGGTTGCCATACTTGACGGTATCGCCGATCTGAAAGACCACCTGGACCGCGAAGAACAGCTACGGCTAGCTCAGGGTTCCGACCGGGTCGAGGATGAGTATGGGGTCATTCATAGCAGTGAACCATTTGCAAGATTCCGGTCCAATGGCGCATTTTTGTTGTATGGATGTCGCCGCGCGACGTCACGGAATGAAGTACTCTCAGCACTGCCCCCCAAAAAAGCTGTCGATCGCTACATCTCTCGCTACTTCAACTACTTGGATCTTGTATCGTATTGTAGGACATATCTATCCACTGCTGACAAGTCTATTGCTCATTTTCGCTGATGTGGTTCAGCTGCGGTTCACGGACCGAGCTTTCTGCGCGATGTAAGTAAACATGCTCTACACTCCAGCCACAACGACGCTGTTGCTAACAAGTACAGTACGAGGCATTCTGGGCCGATCCATCCGATGTCCCTATTATGTGGGTTGGACTTCTTTTCGGTATGGTCTGCCTTGCATGTCTAGCCTCCGACCCGCCCGATGGACCCGAGGCCGAGCAACAGTCCCTCCAGGTCAATCTGTACCGCGAGAAGATTGTGCAATGCCTAATCATGGGCGAATATACTAAGTGCGGACCGTACGCCTTGGAAACGCTCATCAACTACGTTTATGTTGAATTCTGCATCCGTGCCGATGCCGACAAGGACATCTGGTTTCTGCTCGCCCTCGAAGTCAACCTCGCCCGGCGCATGGGTTACCACCGTGACCCTGGTCACTTCCCCGGCATTTCACCCTTCCGGGGTGAGATGCGCCGGCGGCTATGGGCGACAGTGCTTTTAAGTGATATTCTCATCTCCAACCAGATGGGTATGCCACGAATGATCTCCGACTGGCAGTACGATACTGCGGAACCGCGGAATCTCAACGATGCAGATTTCGACGAGGATACCAGAGAGTTGCCTCAACCGCGACCCGAAACCGAGCACACGACGGCCCTGGGTATCATCGCGCGCAGGCGTATGTTGAAGGTGCTCGGCATCATTGC